CCAGCGTTATCCAGCATCATGCAGCCACATGTCATACAAGCAGAAAAACAAAACAGTGGTCTTGCGGAAAAGAACATAAAAGTTCTTCCTTGGCCATCCAACAGCCCAGAACTTTCCCCAATTAAGAATGTATGGAATATTATGAAGAGACGCACTCAAACAGCTGAAGGACTAAAAACTTCCATTTTCATTATCTGGAATTCCATAACTGCATATGAATGTAAACACCTAATCAATAAAATGCCGAAAAATATGGAAATTATTTTGGCTGCGAAGATTATGAAACAAAGTATTAAATATGCAATGGTATACTGTATATTCATTGACAGGAGAGAAGCAGCGGTCTGTGTTTTTATATGCCTCTGACTCAAGTTGACTGGCCCAATTTTTTTAAACTTGCAACACACCAACTTGATATTTAGCAAAAACAAAGAATAATTACTGTAGATTAATTTTTAATTATGTTAAAAATTCACCAATGAATCAAAGCTACTTTTTTTATAATCTGTGTAATGGATGGCATGTTAACTGCGGCATGGTCTAAGTTCACTGGTGACTACTGTATATTCACTGTCCGACGACGCCAATCTGCCAGCACTAATAAACGGTAATAAATAAAGTAGTATTACATGCGACTGATATCGAATCAACAATAATGTAATGTTTTAAGATATCTATAAAACGTCTGTTCGTTAATTAAAGACAGTAACTTTTTCAATCCCATTTATAATGTCAACAGTTTTTCACACAATAAAAAATGTAGCACTAACTGTCTTTTGTTTTTCGTTTAGTCACCTGGAATAAAATTGTTTCTGGTTTATATTACGTTCCATATCATTGCACATGACAGAACTAAATAAGACTTTGTTTCTTCTAAATCATTAATTCTTCAATAAGTATTTTATTGTTTATAAAACTGTTATCAAAAATTAAAACAAAATTCAAATTTTAATAAATTTCTTTTATTTTTACGAAGTTTTATCAATTTTTTTTCGAAAAATTTAAAATAATTTGATACATAATTTTGATAAACTCGTTAACTATTTAAATTTTGCAGGAAACAAAAATATTTTTTTATTTAAATTCTTATTGTAAAGTTCATTTGGAAGTCGATGGTTTATCCAAATATGAGTATTTCTTTTTCTTCTTCATCATCTCTAATCTGCTTCTGCTAATCAGTCCAAGCGCTGTCAATATTTCTGGATCTTCTGTCTCTTCAATTTCCTGTAAAAAGTAACAATTTAATGATTGATTTCTGTTTTAGTTTCCGGTTGATATAAACAATTGACAGTAAACAGCTTTTTCTTATATTCGCGTGAATAAAACTTTTATATTCGTGAATTACATTACTGCAATTCACATTTAAATTGTATATTGCGATTTAACATTAGTTTAATTAAATATCAATGTGTTTTCATATGTGAATGTTGCTAATTTTGAACGCACTAATAATAATCAATTTATAACAGACTTACATAACACATTTTAAATGTTTATTTATGAATTTTATACTATATACCTTTTATATCTTAAATAGTTAATAAGTTATAAATTTTATTGTTTGCCATTAAAACCGAAAGTCGCAAATATTACGGTTATGAAATCATGAAAAATTCTCGTANTAATTTTGATAAACTGGTTATGTAAATTTTGCAGGAAACAAAAATACATTTTTATTTAAATTCTTATTGTAAAGTTCATTTGGAAGTCGATGGTTTATCCAAATCTGAGTATTTCTTTTTCTTCTTCATCATCTCTAATCTGCTTCTGCTAATCAGTCCAACTGCTGTCAATATTTCTGGATCTACTGTCTCTTCAATTTCCTGTAAAAAGTAACAATTTAATGTTTGAACAAAAACACTTTATGTATAATAATTGATTTTTCTTTTAGTTTCTGATCAATAAAAGCAATTGACAGTAAACAGTTTGTTTTTTATATACGCGTCAATACAACTTTTATATTCGTGAATTACTTTACTGAAATTCACATTTAAATTGTATATTGCGATTTAACATTAGTTTGATTAAATATCCAAGTGTTTTAATATGTGAATGTTGTTAATTTTGAATGCACTACTGATAATAAATTCATAAACGACTTTGAAAACAAGTTTAACGGTTTATTTATGAATTTTATACTTTATACTATTTACATCTTAAATAGTTAATAAGTTATAAATTTTATTGTTTGCCATTAAAACCGAAAGTCGCAAATATTACGGTTATGAAATCATGAAAAATTCTCGTAAATTCATAACAGACTTAGAAAAGAAAGTTTAAAGGTTTATTTATGAATTTTATACTTTATACTTTTTACATCTTAAATAGTTAATAAGTTATAAATTTTATTGTTTGCCATTAAAACCGAAAGTCGCAAATATTACGGTTATCGAATCGTAAAGAAATCACGTATTCTCAAGTTACCGAAATATTTCCGGAATGTATCAAAAGCCTTCATGTATAAGGGGGAGAGAGAATACATCATTGAATATTTTTCTTATCGGAAAATTTTCCTTTAATTCAACTTATTTTTATTATTTTAGTATACTTCAAAAATAAAGATCATACAAATATACTTCAGAGTTGACACAACTAGTGCAGAGCATGCTATTCTGATATTTATAAAATTGTGACAATGCAAGAATCTTTTTCTCATGCTCATTGCTTCATATAAAACCATTTAATCATTAATCGATTAAATAATGATTGGATGGTTTATAATTAATCGAATGCTTTTTAAAATCAGTAACAGCCACAATATTAATGCATAAATTATCATTGAAGTGGAAGGAGCGTGAAAAGTGTGACTGTTCTTATGCTGTAACCAATTTTCCTTCCAGTTTGTACTGAAGAAACATTGGTGACATTTGTATAAAAATGTGTAGTTTTCTCTTTATTATTGTTTTTAACATGTTTCTCATGAGTTATTTTTGTTGAAGAGATTTTACAATGAGAGTGCATATGAGATTCGGAAATATCCTGTTTTAATATCGCAATCGATGTGACGTGTCTTTCCTTCGAAATTGCTGCACAATTGAAAAATACGATTAACTAGACAATTCCATTTAGAATTTTTCTGTTATTTTTTAATTCATGCAATAAAATACATGTAAACAATAAATAAAAGACAATAGCGTAATATATATATATATATATTCATATACATATAATATGCGATATTTCATTGTTTTGTAAAAACAATTGTGTAATTTATGATCAACATAATTTTATAATATAAAAAATTGGCAATTTAATTAGGTTTTAAATATTCAAAAATTTATGGATATGCTATTGTGGAAGTATCAAATAAGGATATTTCATGTGGCGTTTAATTCTTTTTTATAAAAGTTTTATGAAGTCTATACCTCTATACCTCTACTATGTAAATACTAATATCTTTGTTTCAATTAAGCTGTTTATTAGTTTACTACCGCACACTACACAAACTACAATGAGAATGCTTGTAAATAAAAAAATAAAAATGAAAACAAAAAACAATAGAAAAAAAGCCACTACAAGTACTACAACGTTTTATCAAATTGTTTCTTTGTGATTTATTAGATTAAAGGTTAGTATAAATGAATCGAAATGCATGCCTCATCAATAGAAGACAACTCCGTATAATGATCCAGACAAAGATGTCTGTCCAAACAGTCTTTCCATTTAGTAGTATACTTGCAATAATTGCACTTATAAAGCTGTTCCGATGAATGTATTCTTTTGTGTCTTTTCAATAATGATATGGTTATAGTAGAATATTCACATTCATCACATTTGAATGGCTTTTCACTCCAATGAGTTTGCTTGTGAACTCTCAAACAATCAAGAAGCTTATATTGTTTTCGACACACGTCACATGTTAATTTGTTGCATGCAGGATTGTTCTTCAGATGGTCATCGAATATATGTTGATTAGGATATTAATTTTTACAAATCATGCATTCAATGACCTCTATTTTGTCACTTGAAGTAGATGCCTTTTAAAAACAAGGTCGATATTACTAATATTGAGGCTATATGTTTCATTTTATAAAAAGGAGATCGATATAAACTATTCTATATTAATAATTAATAGATTTTCTTTATTTAATTGTTTTAAAAATATGATTTGAAGATTTTAACTCTTACCATGTTTATTATAATCCTGCTTTCAATAAATCAACAATTGTAGTTACAATATTATTTCAAATTAATTATTAAAATTGTATTGTTGTGCGTGATTAATTGTTTGCTGNAGATTCGGAAATATCCTGTTTCAATATCGCAATCGATGTGACGTACCTTTCCTTCGAAATTGCTACTGAATTGAAAAATAGATTAACTAGACAATTGTGTTTAGAATTTTTCTGTTATTTTTTACATTTCAATGTGAGTTATAATCACCCGATGGAAATAATTCAATAAATGTTAATTCAATCGTTTTATGAATGTTAAATCACAAAGTCAGATTCATAATTATATGTGAGTCTGTGCAAAGACGTGCACATTGCACTAAAATATTAAATTTTGGAGGATATAATATAAAAGTATTTTATATGTTATCCTTCTTTAATATAAAAGTATATTTTATGAGCATTGTTTTGAAATAAGCATATCTGCAATAAGAAAATTTGCAGTAGATTACGACTTTGAATAGAAATTTGCAGCTGATCTGATAAATTTCGATAGATTAGGGTGTAGCCGTTATGCCAATATTGAATCAAACCATAAATTTACGAGCTACACACTGCTCTGATATTTACGTTGTTAATCGGATATTATCTGGAACAGTTTATAACCGTCCAATTCATAACCATTTAAGTAAGATCATTCGTTTATCTCCTTGACTGCACGGTTATGCTTTCTGTGACATAAGTATATAAGCTAAAAAAATAATTTATTATGACACAATATTCCAGATATAATTATTTTTGAAAGCAATCGTTATTTTTTACCTGAGATGTAAATTCGTTTTGTGTTGAATGTATACGTAGCTTGTGTGTTTTTAAACTTGACAGATGTGCAAATTTTCTAGAGCATTTATCACACTGGAATGGACTTTCTCCTGTGTGTTGTCTCATGTGGGCTTTTAAATTGAATTCTGATCGATATCGTTTCTGGCACATTTCGCATTCAAATTTTCTCAAATGCCTATACCTAAGTGGAAGTTAATGCATAAAATTATTTTAAAAATTTCATAATTGTACATTACATGTAATAACTTAGGTTGAGAGTTAAAACTGTTATTTTTATTCGAATACATTAGTTCGAAACTACATAAACTTTGAAAACCATGTACACTAATAATAATAAAATTTTTAACGATTTATATTCTAAAACATCTAAAACATTTTTTATAGTTTTGATTACAACAGTTTTCATCAGAGAAACAGGCTCAAATAAAAAGCAAACATTATACAATGACATTATTCACTTACAATTAAAATTTATTCATGCAATAAAATAGATGTAAACAATAAATACAATATGAGAAAGTAATATATATATAATGTATAATATGCGTTATTTCATCGCTTTGCAAAAACAGTTGTGTAATTTATGATCAACATGATTTAATCTTGAAAAAATTGGAAATATAATTAGTTTTGAAATATTCAAAAATTTATGAATGTGCTTTCGTGGCATTCACAAATAAAGACATTTCAAGCGGTGTTTAATTCATTTCTAAAATAGTTTTCTGAAGTCAGACGTGCTTCTGTACCTCTACTCTGTATACTGTATATTAATTTCTTTATTTCAAATAAGCAGTTTATTAGTTTACTAGTCTACCACACATTGCACAAATTACAATGTGAATACTTGTGAATAAAAAAACAAAAAAGAAAAAAAAGAAAAATGACACTACAAATTCTACAACATTTTATCAAATTGTTTCTTTTTTATTTTTTAAATTAAAGGTTAGTATAAATGAATCGAAATACATACCTCATCAATAGAAGACAACTCTGTATAATGTTTCAAATAAAGATGTCTGTGCAAACAGTCTTTCCATTTAGTAGTATACTTGCAATAATTGAACTTATAAAGCTGTTCCGATGAATGTTTTCTTTTGTGTCTGTTCAATAATGCTTTGGTTAAAGTAGAATATTCACACTCATCACATTTGAATGGCTTTTCACTCAAATGAGTCCGCTTGTGATAGTACAAACTCTGAATGAGCTTAAATTGTTTTAGACACAGGTCACATGTTAATTTGTTGCAAGCAGGATTGTTCTTCAGATGGTCAACGAATAGTTGTTGATTAGGATACTGATTTTTACAAATCATGCATTCCATGACTTCTATTTTGTCACTTGAAGTAGAATCCGTTTAAAAACAAGGCCGATATTACTAATATTTATATGTTTCATTTTATAAAACGAGATCGATATAAACTATTCTATTTTGATAATAATTATATTTTCTTTATTTAATCATTTTAAAAATATAATTTGAAGATTTCAACACTTACCATATTTATTTTAATCCTGCTTTCAATAAACTAACAATTGTAATTAGAATATTATTCAAAATTCATTATTGAAATTCTATTGTTTGTGATTAATTGTTTTCTGTCTTAACATAATATGCACCAATGAGAATGTTTTAAAGAAATGCAATCGAAATATTTCAGCGCAACCGTGCTAAATCTTCTTTCCTGTGGCTTTTAAAATTCTATCGATGGATTTTGATTAAACATTGTCATTTTCCGTTAATTGCGTTGAGGAATTCGAAAATTTAATGAAAATTGAGGGTCCATGACTTCATTTACGAAATACATTGGTATCCAAGTGATGATATGACGTCCATGCTTTTTGTTGCGATTAAGTGCGCCTTATCGGATTTAGGGAAAAAATAATGCATTGTGTGCGCCATAAGTAAAATGTGATGTTAACTGAACAAAACACAAGAACAATGCAATCGACATGAGCGAATGTTTCAGTTATTAAGGTCAAATATATTTATCCACTTGTCTGTTAATTTAATTTTCATATTAACAATATTCACAATTATACTGCTACCTGCTCTAATTTCATTGTACTTATTTTTCCCTGTATGAAATCTATACATATAGTAAATTACTAAATACAAATATAAATCCACACTTAAATTGATTAACTTTTTATACAAAATATGATTTAAAATTAGTATTCTAAAGAATATTATTTATTTAAAAATTCAATTAAATGTAGTATTAAAAATAACTACTTTATATACTAGTCGTTTATTCGAGCAACATCAAATACGTTCATTATTACACAAATATTTTTTTATAATAAAAATTAATTCTGAATATCTGATAATTAAGTAATAAATTATTTTTTTTATTAACTATATACAAAGCAAGTAAAAATATAAGATATGTTTAAATTCAGCTTGAACGGATTGTCATTGTTATTGTTCTGTATCTAATGAACAAATCTACAGTAAGAAAAATTAATGTTTAAAAAGCAATTTATGATGATTGTTATTATTAAGTTGTACAATTAAAACAGTTGAATGCTATAGTTAACATCTATGATATATACTTTATTATCAGATATAAATTTTTTATTCGAATCTCTTCCATTCTGCAATAAGTAATGGTTGTGTTTATACAGAAATTATTAAAGCTAAATAGTTATCAAAAACTCATGCTTATACTCTACTTCTCACAACTCTTAAGCAATTATACAATTACACAATGGTAATTATAAATGAATAATACTGGATAAATCAAATCATATTATCCAGTATGCTACGCTATTACAGCTTACCTACTTTGACTCTATATAGGATAAAAGTTAAACGGAATGTTATTGTAAACATATACATAAATAAACGGGTATTATTTTTTTATAATTAAGTAGTAGTGTGCACTTTTTACTGCCACATTGTCTCTCAGCCCGTTTCTATCCCAGACCACTACTTCACATACGCGACCGCTCGCGCAAAACTGAAACCACAGCCACAAGGTATCTGTGTCTGCCTTAAAACACACAGTGGTGTCAGTTCTAACCGGTCTGGTACCGACGCTCTGACCACAATAAGAAAAGGTTAATTTTAATTTCCCTTGAACTCTATCATACATTTTAATTCTCTTTTTACAATGGAGACTGTTTTGATTTGTGCCTTCAACCTAGTCCAGGTTAATTCATATACTTTTCCCTCTTCTAGCCTAATTATTGTTACTAAATCTATATCTAATTGTAGCTTTAGTTTGAAATAGCGAGGTTGATTCCAAAGTTTTAAACGCGAAAACGCGTACGTCGGACGTTCAGCGCTACTTTCCTGTAATCCTAGAAGTTTGACAATGGTGTTTGGTTAGTCAGTGGAGTCATGCTCGACATTACAAAGACCATTTTCAACTTCTAGGATTACAGGAAATAGGCGCTGAACGTTCGACGTACGCGTTTTCGCGTTTAAAACTTCAGCCTGAACCTAGCTAATAAATGTTGTGTTGTTTAATCATAGCCCGCCCTCGTCATTCTCTCAGTTATCTGGGCCGCCGTGAAAACAGTTTGGTGACCCCTCCTCTAAAATATCAATTTTGTTTTTCATCAACAACTTTCTCGGCATTTCAGTTAGGCAAAATAATTCCGGTCACAACTTAATATAGAGTTACATAAAATGTAACATTACATCCGCCGATAATTGGGCTTTGCATTCAAAAATTATGGTATATCGAAAAATATAATATGATTCTATATACAATAATTATCGTCGGATCTGATGTATGCGAGAAAGGAACAATGAACTTAATATTTCCTCTTCCTTTCAAGTTGGAACTAGCCATCATTTTCAATTGGATTTTTCCCTCTGTAGATATGATAAACATCTTTTTCGCGCTAGTGGCTTCAATTTGTTACGACTAAGAAGGAAATTGCCAGGTACAAGCCTAAAGTCATTGACATTCGTGAGTCCGTACTGCAAGGTTCAGTCTCTTCTGAGGTTTCAGTTCTTCTTACCTTGATTCGTACTTAAATATTCGTTATTAACTTTTTTATATGAATATATAAACAGAATTTAGTCATTTGGAACAACGGTCAGGTACGGCTTGGAAATTTTCAGAAATGGCTGATCCACCGTGTCTTTCAAGCCACAGACCAAATTAACTGCAATGAATACAATGCAATCCAAATTATACATTACCATATTAATTCAACTTAATTCAGGCAATATCATGTATTTATTATATTAATTAAACTATATTAACGGTGTGACGGTGCTGATCTCCTGCCAGCACTAATGAACGGTAAAAAATAATATAGTATTACATGCGACTGATATCGAATCGACAATAATGTAGTATTTTAAAATATCTATAAAACGTCTGTTCGTTAATTAAATACAGTAACTTTTTCAATTCGATTTATAATGTCGACAGTTTTTCACAGAATAATAAATGTAGTACAAACTTAGTCTTTTCTTTTTTGTTCAGTATCTAGAAATAAAATTGTTTTTGGTTTATATTTCGTTCCTTATCATTGGATATGACAGAATTAAATAAGACTTTGATTCTTCTACATGATTACTTCTTCAATAACTATTTTATTGTTTATAACACTTTTATTAAAAATTAATACAAAATTTAACTTATAATAATACACTTCTTTTATTTTTCTCAATATTTTTGAAAAATTTCAAAGTGTTGCTGAATTTGGTACTTAATTTTGATAAACTGGTTATGTAAATTTTGCAGGAAACAAAAATACATTTTTATTTAAATTCTTATTGTAAAGTTCATTTGGAAGTCGATGGTTTATCCAAATCTGAGTATTTCTTTTTCTTCTTTATCATCTCTAATCTGCTTCTGCTAATCAGTCCAACTGCTGTCAATATTTCTGGATCTACTGTCTCTTCAATTTCCTGTAAAAAGTAACAATTTAATGTTTGAACAAAAACACTTTATGTATAATAATTGATTTTTCTTTTAGTTTCTGATCAATAAAAGCAATTGACAGTAAACAGTTTGTTTTTTATATACGCGTCAATACAACTTTTATATTCGTGAATTACTTTACTGAAATTCACATTTAAATTGTATATTGCGATTTAACATTAGTTTGATTAAATATCCAAGTGTTTTAATATGTGAATGTTGTTAATTTTGAATGCACTACTGATAATAAATTCATAAACGACTTTGAAAACAAGTTTAACGGTTTATTTATGAATTTTATACTTTATACTATTTACATCTTAAATAGTTAATAAGTTATAAATTTTATTGTTTGCCATTAAAACCGAAAGTCGCAAATATTACGGTTATCGAATCGTAAAGAAATCACGTATTCTCAAGTTACCGAAATATTTCCGGAATGTATCAAAAGCCTTCATGTATAAGGGGGAGAGAGAATACATCATTGAATATTTTTCTTATCGGAAAATTTTCCTTTAATTCAACTTATTTTTATTATTTTAGTATACTTCAAAAATAAAGATCATACAAATATACTTCAGAGTTGACACAACTAGTGCAGAGCATGCTATTCTGATATTTATAAAATTGTGACAATGCAAGAATCTTTTTCTCATGCTCATTGCTTCATATAAAACCATTTAATCATTAATCGATTAAATAATGATTGGATGGTTTATAATTAATCGAATGCTTTTTAAAATCAGTAACAGCCACAATATTAATGCATAAATTATCATTGAAGTGGAAGGAGCGTGAAAAGTGTGACTGTTCTTATGCTGTAACCAATTTTCCTTCCAGTTTGTACTGAAGAAACATTGGTGACATTTGTATAAAAATGTGTAGTTTTCTCTTTATTATTGTTTTTAACATGTTTCTCATGAGTTATTTTTGTTGAAGAGATTTTACAATGAGAGTGCATATGAGATTCGGAAATATCCTGTTTTAATATCGCAATCGATGTGACGTGTCTTTCCTTCGAAATTGCTGCACAATTGAAAAATACGATTAACTAGACAATTCCATTTAGAATTTTTCTGTTATTTTTTAATTCATGCAATAAAATACATGTAAACAATAAATAAAAGACAATAGCGTAATATATATATATATATATTCATATACATATAATATGCGATATTTCATTGTTTTGTAAAAACAATTGTGTAATTTATGATCAACATAATTTTATAATATAAAAAATTGGCAATTTAATTAGGTTTTAAATATTCAAAAATTTATGGATATGCTATTGTGGAAGTATCAAATAAGGATATTTCATGTGGCGTTTAATTCTTTTTTATAAAAGTTTTATGAAGTCTATACCTCTATACCTCTACTATGTAAATACTAATATCTTTGTTTCAATTAAGCTGTTTATTAGTTTACTACCGCACACTACACAAACTACAATGAGAATGCTTGTAAATAAAAAAATAAAAATGAAAACAAAAAACAATAGAAAAAAAGCCACTACAAGTACTACAACGTTTTATCAAATTGTTTCTTTGTGATTTATTAGATTAAAGGTTAGTATAAATGAATCGAAA